CATTAGCAAAGGAAAAAATAAATCTTGGATCGAATTTTTGCTTTGGGCGTGAGCTTTTTCACGAACTAAACAAATTAATCCCATTTCATTATTTTTGAACAAAAGTCTGTCGATTTATAACAGAGGGACATCAGGTTACAAAAAAGTAATAACCCTCATATATATATATATATATATATATATATATATATATATATATATATATGATATTACACAAAAACATGTCAAAATTAAAATCTAAATAAATAGTTCATTCGACAGTAATTTACAATCGCCTGAAGAGATGCATTGATACGCATCGAAACACGACTGCAATTGTGTAGCCATTTTAACATGATTTCGATATAATACCCTAAAATAAATAATATTCCTCTACTTTGTATTGAGCCCTGTTTTAAATTAAATGTTACGAACGTTGGAATTGTATTCTATTCGTTCTCATCTTACCTGCACACACACACACACACACACACACACACACACATATAGTCGTAGTCAGTCGTCTATATATATATATATATATATATATATATATATATATATACTGATTTCAATTATTTATCATTTAAACAAAAATTATAATAGTAAAAATAACTGGTCCATTTTACGACGATCTCGATACCACGAATACTAGTTGTCACTTTTGTGATAGTAGTGCCTTTGTAATCGCAGATACAACTATAGTAACGCCGAATAACGCACTAATAGTACTTGCTCTATAAAACTCTTTCGAAAAGTAACCACCGAATAGTGATCCGAATAGTGAAATAGTATAGTGAATATAGTAGAGAATAGCGGTCCATGTGGTAATAGAGGATAGAGTAGAAATGGAGATCAGTTAGATGCAAACTAATTCTTACTCATGCCTTTCCTCTCTGGTCACGTGGTCTGCTAATTCAATAATGAGTTTACCTCTTTGCTGATTGGCGTTTTGGGTTAAAACTCAAGTGTCGACAGCGACTTTATTCCTATGTAATAACTTCCTAGATGTGTCGCGATAAAAGCTCCGATCATCCTGTGTTTTGAATAGATTAATAGGAGTAGATTGATTCGGCTATCGCCTAGTCAGCATTACTTTAATGTTTATTGATCAGTAGTAGATAGTTATCCCTTGTTTCCTGATTAGAATAGGTATTACTGGTTTCTTTCTTCCACGGCCTTAAAGATTTTATCTTACGTAACATATTCGTGATCTGATTGATCGGTAGCTTCAACTTTTCATTTTGACTGTAAAGATTTCGCGGTCTTCTGGTTATTGCATTCCGACAAGTAATAAGGAATATAATCTCAAGTTTAGAGAGGCTTTTCTGGTCAACAATCTTTTAACAAAGCGGTATTTGTAGCGTCATGCTGTGCATGGATAGGTGTTGTTACATATAACTCTGGTTGACAAACCTGAGGCCACGTTATGATTTAGTTCTAGCCAAATTCCGAACTGTTTTTTATCGCCTGAGACGATGAACATTAACAATTATTTTGGCTATTTTCTACTTAAAAAGTTTTATAACTGCAACCATTATAAACAATAAAAATAAACCAGTCTGTAAAGAATATAAACCCATCATTCTTTCTTTCACCAAAATTCCTGGTATTCATATCGATTTCTGTAGGGTAGATTTTTTTATTTTAAAAACGTTATTCCGATATTTATACATTCTACTAAACTAATCTAAATTCTGGCATTGAATTTTGTGTTCAACACTATCTGCCAGTTTATGAGAAGGACTCTAGAGTCGAATTTTTCTAACTGTGGGTCCCGACCCTTCAGTGGGTCGCGAGAAAAATAAAATGGGTATTCGGCAAAACAAAACAAAAAAAAAGAAAAAATGCGTGCAAAGAGGGCAAAGTGCAGGATATAAACAACTAAAAATGTTGCACAGCAATCATAAATCAGCGCAAATTTTCACCGTTTACCGAGTTAAAAGCTTTTATTAAATTTTAAGTTTAATATATATATATATATATATATATATATATATATATATATATATAACGTTATCCACAGACTGTTTCGCTGTTTAACAGCTCATCAGTGTGGCTAGACATCCGGTTGCCTCTGTCAGTCGGAGATTCTAACCATTAAGCCGTCGGCGCACGGTAGGGATGAGGGTGGATTTTAGCGTATTTATTTTTAGAAACACGCCCAGCGACCGACAGTGACTCATTTCGCTTTCGCGAAGAGTCTCGCTATATAGCTATAAATAGTCACTGTTTACCAACCCACACCTCCTCCCCAGAGAGCTCAACTAAAATTAATTTTTCAGGAGCCGGTATAACGTCATCCACAGACAGACTGTTTCGCTGTTTCACAGCTCATCAGTGTGGCTAGACATATACACTATTGTCTATTTATTTTATGTAAATTTTTTTCATAACGTCTGATAAATTTAATAGCATTATCGTTGAACGAAGAAAGAAATTCACAATATTGATCCATATTTTTTTTAATACAATCTAAGCTTTCGGCTTACATAAGCCATTATCAAAGATATCAATTACA